CATCACCAGACCGTAGAGTCTATGATCCGACATTTGGTTGCTTGAAATAAAGTGCTGACTCTATCACAGAACTGAAGTACTTACATCTGGTGAATGGAGTGTACAAACTCAGATTATCAGACAAATATTACTGTCAAGTCATGGGACAGATGGCACTATCTGGTTCTAAGTGGTGTGACTTTTTTGTCATGTGTAAAAGCGACTTTAATCTTGAGAGAATATATTTCTCTCAACGGAAGTGGGAAGACATCAAAATAAAATTAGACATATTCTACTTCAATCATTACCTGCCACATCTTTGCAATTGTAAGTACTCTTGTGTGTGTGTATCTACAGATGACATGAATACAGACCAGAGTTGGCATTTTATCAATAATTTTATTGTTTACATGACATGTATCTCCTCTCCATGGGATTTGAAATCATCAAAATATATGACTATTGACAACAATAAAAGATAATATAAAAGGAAATGCAGTATTTAAAAACAAATGCTTCAAGTTTATTCAATGCTGTTCATGGGTTTGCAGTGAAAAATGTGTTGTGATGACAAAGTGTTTGATACGCACAACACTGGTTTAACAAGTACAAAAAGGACAAAGTATGCATAATATTATTGCCATTACTATATCCATTATATTCAGTGAATACATTATTCATTATAATATAAAAGTATTGATATTGTAAGAAATATATGTCGTACAATGGTGCATAATTATGCTTCACGTTACAAAAAAGAAAAGTTGTTAATATTATATAGCTGCAGGAAATCTCAAGTATTGATTCTTATAAACTCATTTATGTACTATGATAAGTGCAAATTCATAATGATTCATAGGCCAACAGGGTACGTTTTTGTACCGATGAAACTGCACTGGACAGCCTAAAATTGTCATGTGCAGGTAGTTATTTTTCTGTGGCTGCACTCAGTGCAGTTGTGTGTTTTGACCTAAATTAATTCTCAACCATTCAAATTGTCGTTGATTGGTGCAGTTTCCCCTCAATGGAGAAATTAGATACAAAGCACATTTAGGCAATATATCAGGATATGTATATCACGAGGGTCCACGATACATCGATGTATTGCCACAAGAGATGATATATACCGATACTACTTAAAGTTACAATGAGTATTGCATTAGGAATAGGAACAGAGTCTCTTTGAAATGCTTCTTTGTTTGTATCTGTTACATGAACAAAGGAGTTGGTGTGAAAAAGTGTGAAAATGTTTCAAACTCTGTGAACTGTAGAATACTTGTCTTCAAATAACTGAAATAGGTTTTAGACAGCACTAATTGCAGTCTAGATAAAAAATGTGAAATTGTACCCTGGCCAATGCCAGTGGCAACTTCAGAATTTCTATTACATTGAACTTTATTGCCATGTAAAAAAACAACAATAAAATTTGAAGCATATTGCACATGGACAAGGAAATAGCACCTTTCTACACGTTCGGTAAATATTGCACATATATGAGAGATCAATGATGATGAAGTTTGAATATTTTGCATATGAACATGTTCCTATCCTATACTGTTATCATATCTATATAGATATTTTATGAAATAGCATGTGCAATATTTCAATGAAAAATGTGTTTCATATATGAAGTCCACCATCACTTGTCAATGGTCACACTTTGTCATTATATAACAATGTCCATGGTGTTAATAAATACATTCCATAAACATTGTTTGTTTGTTACACTTGTCACATACTTTGGCCCATGAACTAAAATAATTTACTATAGAAATTTGTCAACAAACAGCAGACAGTCCAAACTTGATTTATGGATCCTGCTAATGTTGGAGGTATGACAGAGTCAAAGATATGATATTCCTTGCACCTCCGAATGGCTCTCTCAATGTGAATTCTAAGCCTTGCAATCTCTTGAGTTTCTTTCACTTCTCTGCGAGAAAACTGTCCTTTTTGCTCTCAGAAAAAGATGAATAATCCATTTTGCAACTTTCGGTGTGAGTAGGTCTTGTATTACAAATCCCTTGTCTGCCATCACATCATCTCCAACATCAAGTAAGTCCAGTATTCCACACTGTTTGGTTATTTCCTTCTCAGAAACAGAACCTGACTACAAAGCACTGACAAAGCTAATCATGCCATCTGGTGTGATTCCAATAAGCCCTTTCATAGTCGACTGAGACTTGTAGTGGGAATACATCTCAGAGTGTCTTGTCTTTGAACCTGGAGTTTGCACTCTGATCTCTGTACAGTCTAATATGACTCTGGTATTGGGATATGTGCTCTTAAAACACTCTGGCATAACTTTGTTGATACCAGCTCTCTCTTGCCAAATCGGTAGCATCCCCAACATGACATACAAATAATTAGCCCAGGTGACCAAAATACGACTCATTGAACTGACGGATACATCAAACCTCACAGCTCAATCAACCTCAAAAAAGCCCTGTCTGATACGACATAAGAACGTGAAAAACTGATTTGTTTATAGAATATCCAAGTATACCGGTAAAGTTCATGTTTAAGTTGTTTGATAGTAAGGTAAAACCTGTCTTATTTTATGGGTCTGAAATCTGGGGGTTCGGGGATAGGAAATCGCTTGACATCTTCCACACTAACTTTTGCAAGTATGTACTTGGTGTAGGTTAGCAGGTTTCTAAAGGACTTTAGTAATGGAGTTTTAGCTGATTGCGGTAGATTAAATATGTATGTTGATTATTATGGCAGATGTATAAGTTATTGGTAAAAATTATTGAGGATGTCCGAGGATCGTTATCCAAAACAGTCTTATTTACTTACGAGGGAATTAGATTTAGCTGGTAGAGTAACGTGGGCTACTTCTGTTAAATATTTGTTAAGTTCCTATGGGTTTTGTTCTGTTTGGTACAGTCAGGATGTTGGTGATATTTCTCAGTTCATATAGAGTTTTAAGAACAGACTAACTGAATGTGATAAACAACTTTTTTTTTTGTAGTATAAATCAATCTTCTCATATGGTGTACTTTAAAGAAATAAAGTTACTTTTGAATGTTGAATATTATGTAAATTTCATCAACCAAGTAACTATTAGAAGAAATATTTGCCTTCTTTAATTACATTCCCTCCCTTTACGGTGTAATATTAGAGGTGTAAATGTCGATACGTATTGTAGATACATATTATACATTTTTTGTTGGAGTGTAATGCTTACAATGTAATTAAAAATAGGTAAGTTCCTGTAAATAGTCAGTTAAATTTAGTCGCTAATTACCATAATATATTAACTAGTAATTGTAGATATACCCTTGTAAATTGTTCTAATTACATCAAAGTAGCTCTTGCTCATAGCAAAATGTTACAAAATTAGCCATTTATTTGAATTACTTTGTACAGTTACTCCTATTCTACGAAAATGTATTCGTTGTGCACGTATTGTACATGGGCCGATGGCCTATAAACCGAAATAAAAGAAGAATGTATAAAGGTGGATTGTTTTGCGGCGGTGCGATCGATACACGTTTTTGTTCATACAGCTTGCAGAATCAATATACTTATAAAAACATCAATAGCATCGTCTACATTACTGTCAAGTTTGTTAAACACTGACACAGGAGATATTCTAGAGGAGATATTCGTTGTAGATTTACCTTAATTATGTTCATTTTCTGAAACAGGCAGATGATCGGAATCTAATCGATCACCTATATCCAACATACTTATGTATTCAAAGAGATCAGGATAACAAAGGAAATAATCATTAATACTACAGCCATGCTGTCTGACAAAAGTATTTTCACCTGTTCATCTCCAAGCAAACACTCTAACATTGACAAGTTTAACAAGTGTAATTGGGCTAAGGATAGCATAATGCCTTACCAGGCGTGCCGATCTCCCAGTAGCCTTACCACCGGAAGGCACTGAACTGATGTTGGTCCAAATTATCCGTCTGTTTTATAGATTCCTTGTAATCAAAATGTCTAAGATTGTTTACAAAGAGTTGTTAATCATTTAAATTAGCCCTAATCCTCGACAACAGCCCATTGCATTACAAGGAGGCATTGAACTGAAGTTGGTCGAAATAATCCGTCTGTTTTACAGATAGGTTCCTTGTTAGCAGAAAGTGTAAGATTTTATACAAAGAATTGTAAATCATTAAAATCAGCCCTAATCCTCTACAACAGACCATTGCATTACAGGTGAAGACCTTATTTGTTCGGAGTAAGACATGGGGCCCACTCATCTCCTTCCTTGATGTCAACAAGCTAAGAGTCCGCAATTAGAAAAAACCCCAAAACAATAACACTATTATCGCTTTGAAACCACTAGGAAAAAGGCGTTTGCCATAATTATAGGGAGACACCGAAGATTAAGCTTTAGCATGCTGTCTTATGGACAGGTATCACACAATAAAGATCACAGAAAACAATATTACATTCAGTTTTGCAGATAAAGAATGAGAATTAGAAGGACAGTTAAGGAAAACTGATAGTTTCGGATTTGTTAATTTAGCCTAACAATTTACGCAAGAAGTAACTGAGGCCCAGTGACACACTGTTATCGTTCTTTTGACAACACTTTAAACTGTTGACTGCATAACCCGAGGAGTCTTGGGATGTTGTTGTAACCTGATTAATGCCAGTTAGGGGGCGTGTAAACAGACATTCGTCAGTTATGGACAGTATTGTCGGACATCCACTGCAGTGGTGTAAAATTCAAGCATAGACGCTCCAGGACAAATCATATACTACCCTTATGCAATAATCTATTCGAAAACCTTCTTGTAGGAATCTACGCACTCCCATATCGCCTTTTTTAGATATCACCAAACTGCCGACATATTTTTATCTTAACCATATGACAAGCTATAAGGCGAAAAACCAATAAATGTGTACACACACACACACACACACACACACACACACACACACACACACACACACACACACACACACACACACACACACACACACACACACACATGCAGACACAAACACTCGCACGCACGCACGCGCACACACACACTTTGGTTGCGAACATCTATTTATCAAAAAATACATGAAAGTAGATTGTGAATCCTAACATATCTCCGGTCTTGTATATACTGCTTTGGCAACAGCATCACCTTATTATAAAGATCAATACACTGTCGACAGGAAGGTTGTTCCTGTAACAACCGATGCTTCAGTCTTGAAGACTCACCATGTACAAGCGGGTGTTCCTCCCACTGTTCCTTCCGACACTGTGGACAGCAATGTCAGCATCGTCAGCATGTGGAGGATTACCATTTCTGCGACACGCAGACTTAGATGACGTCTTGTTTACTGAAAGTCTTGTGGCTGAACACGTCGTAGAAGGAAGATTTTTATGTTCAGAACGTTGTTACCATCACCCCTTCTGTAACATGCTGCTGTACAACCCAGAGTCTCAACGATGCCGCCTATACAAGTCCTTCGTGAACACAGGAGGCACTGCAGACATGGGCTGGCAATGCTATGCAGGTGAGCACAATTCTCAAGCAAAACTATATTTGATATATAATAAATATCAAATGAGATTCCACTGCTGCCAAAAAGGTAAAGGTAAAGGTGTGAGAAATGAACCACAATAACATTGCTGAATTTAGCGTAACAAGTTGTTTCTCCTTTACTACTTTGAAGATAAACACTTCGAAGGGACTTGAAGATGACTTTCAGTAGGAGTTTAATTTAAATGGAATTGTTAGTGTTAACTATATACTATATATGTGTGTGTGTATATACGCACACCTGTTAACGTATAACCCTGTAAAACCCTGTTATACCCTGTTATAGTGGATATATAATATTCAACTGTAAGTAGAGACTTATATTCTTGAGAGAAACATATAAGATTTATTTGATTCACAAACTTTAGCAAACCAATCTTGCTGGTGACAATTTTTAACTCTTTGCACAAACTTACTAAGAAATAAAGAACAATTACCAACTTCGTGAGAGATCCAAACAGATCAAAAACCATAGGAGAAAAGTAACATTTTAACATTTGAAGCTCATGTAACACAATTACAGTCATCTAAAGATTTACAAAGAAGATAGCTTTGCTTAGGATATCTATGATTAGGCATGGACGGCAAATTTAACCAATATTGAATACACCTTCTATGACAATAAACAAATAAACCATATCAACCCCATTCACCAAGTGCAGCAACATTAGAAACATAACTACCTACATTAGTATCATATTTACAAAACGTAATATGAAAACGCTCGATGCATTCAATTTTTTAATGACCCCATACTTCACTAGAATAAAGTAAGATTGGCTTAATCTGAGCATCAAATATCTTGAATAATACATCTTGAATGCCTCAAACATTCGATTCCTGTAACACAGCTTCCAACTCAACAACAAAAAGAGCGAACAGCAAAGGACTTACAATACATACCTCTATTACTCCAATTAAAGTATCAAAATAAAGAGATATGGAACTATTTGAAAGTTGAACAGCAGATTTAACCTTAGAGTACATGTCCAATAAACTGTAAATATTTTACCAGGACTATATTCATTTAAAACTGAGAACCACAATAATTTTCGATTAATAGAATCAAATGCCTTTCTGAAATCAACAAATGAAAAATAAAAATGATCATTTGTTTTAATGAGATACTTTTTAACCGGACACTGTAAACTGAAAATATTCCCCTGTTCCCCATTAGATCGAAAGTAGGTGTTTTGATAGCTACGAGTAATTAATTCAAATAATATGCATGGTCGATGATCATGGTCAATATGCGCACAGTCATCAGCTGGAAACGAAAGAGTCGCGTCAAATGTGATCAAAACTATATGAAGTGTTTTAAGCTCATTAATTGAATTAATTACGCGTAGTTCTTAAGACAGAGAAACTATTGAAATATTGGCCATGAGAAAATCTATAGAAAATCTATAGAAAGGTAGGGTATGTCCCATTTTTGAGTGCTATATGTTGGATACCAAGTTGTATGATTGCAAATGGATTAAGGACATTTGTAGTCAATTCAAAACCTGTTATAAATTTCCGTGAAAGCGGGTTTTTTTTATCATGTGCACGTGAACTAGGTTTGTGTAGAATTCGAAATTTACAGGGAATTGCCAGGGTGTTGTTGCACATTTCACTGATAAAAAACAACATGAAAGTTGTTCTGATATTGCAACAGTTTCAAAAATATCATTTTTATGGAAATTGACATGGAACAAGAACTAATATTGTGGCAGGAGCTCTTATGCTTTCACGGTCAGTAATTATCAGATTACAATCACAAAATTGACAGTTGATAATGTTAATTACAGATGACCAAAGGCGACAATTGGCAAACGTCCAATTAAACAGTCGCCATGTGTCTGTTTCACCACAAGCAAATGTTTTGAATAATTTAACAGTTCATCGATTTGTAAATCAATAGATCACTTCACCATATCGTCTTTTCGATCAATCTTGCAACAAACAAGGGTGTTTCACATTTTCCCTTGTCATGCTAATATACAATGCAATGACGAAACGACCATGAATGTATTAAGCACTTGAACTTGATGAACATGATATCATTAACACCCTTAAGAACAAGACAGCAAATAATTCTGTGTGAATAAGCTGCTGACCTTTTAGACATAAAGAGAGAGCATTTCTGTATTGTATACGTAATATGATATTTTGGAAAACATAAAGTATTGATACCGTCTCCATTGGAGGGTGAATGAGAACAAAACTCTATAATCACAAAACGCCTTCAGCATAGCAAAGCTTACTGAGAATTGGCTTATGTTGATGTATGAGGGACTATACAAACACGCTAAACTAGTAAAAGTCTTTCTTAAACACGAATGCAAAACAAACCTAAAGGCACGCAATAACTAAAGCATATTAAGGATAGTTGTGCACATATTAGGATATATATATTTAAATGGACACTCAGAAGTTACTGAAGATGTCAAACAGAGTAATTCTAAAGAGACATAAGTTGTCAGTAAAGGGTGGATTTAAAGGAGTCTGTTCAACTCATGATGCAGCGCCTCGCCATGTTTAGCCAACGCTGTCGGCTGCCTATCGCCCTGGCGTATATATCTCCCAATCATGTCTAATTGCTATCCTGAAAGACAAAACGTCCTTGGAAATGAAACAACAAAGGGCGTCACCCGTCCTGTTAGTACTGTGCATTGAACCTTCCTTGCAAATATTAACTGGGGTTCGATCAGTCATAGTGATGCAGTCCTATCCCATCCCATGTGATCATCTAAGCCATCTTTTCTAAAAGGGAAGTGAACCCTTTCCGCTGCCAGAAGTATGTTTCCAACCATCGTGTCAGAATAGTGTATTCCTAAATATGTCTAGTTCTACACATTTATGAAAAGCACTTTGCAATGCCGTAATAATAACAACATGGGTTCCGCTATGTGCTAGAAACTATTTATGAACGTTTTTTGAAAGTCAGATGAATACATATTCTCGACAATACACTCATGTGTTACGATTGCACACGATAATAGTACAAAACAATACAAAAACCAAAAGACAACAACAAAACGTCCACACTTGAAGACGTCCCTCATTATATGCAATTTTTCATCATCTGATCAATTTCATCAATCATGATCGGAATACCAAAGAAACATGTTCAAGTGTGCTTTTCTTTAAATTCATCATAATGTGCACAGCTCCTGTTGGCGTGTTTCTGGGTCCAGTCTATTTATTTAATTCTGTACAGTTGATTGCAACAAATTCCGGCTGGAGAATGCTGTGTCTCTGTCCGTCGTAAACCAATCTGTGAGTGTTGTCTGTAGAAGCGGATTCTCGTACTTTCCCTCGCCCCCGTTGCGCTGTCACCTTAACACTGGAGTCATCAACATCGGGATGTGTGTCCAGACACGTTGGGTCAATCAGGTATATTTGTAATTGTAATATGTGGAGAATAAATTAAGTTGTCCATGTTGAGGTATATTAAATATCATTTCGGGTGCAAAACTGAGAAGTCAATTTTGATATTAGTTACAGAAATCATGTTTGTATAAATATACTTTCTTCTCTCTTGACATTAGCCATATCCATTCCGGACTGTTTTTCCAGCACCGTTATCAAATGGGGCAGAAATCTCAGTGAGATGGGCTGGCAAAGGAGAAAATGTGTAAGTAGCCAACACTAGTACTTAAGGAGATTATTCCTTGAGAGACTGAGCAGCATTATAGTATGGGCAACAGAAACTGATCACATCTACTCACTTTGAGGCCAGAACTGTTTCAGATTTGAACAGACGCGGTGATGTTTGCGTTATGGCCCTTTATTGTCTGATAATTCGTATAAAATCACAGAAAAAATTGAAACATTCTTCAGACTAAACAAATATATGCTGATAGATAACATCAATCGTTAATGTCATCTTTAAATACAACCATTCACAAAATATTATTATTGCTAACCTATTTCATATACAATGCCTCAACAATTCATTGATGGCATATTCCATGTATACTTTAATGCATCCATACATATGCATAGAGAAATCACATCATACAGGGAAACAAACTAGCAGGTCTACTCCCATTTGTGAGAACTCCCAGTTGTGAGACTCCCAGTTATGAGACAGTGGAGTAGGTAATTAACAATGAAAACACACCATACTCCCCTGTCTGATAGAATGGATTCACCCTAGCTAATTACTGATTTGCTATGTAACTGAATCTTGTTGAGGTAACTTAATGACACTTTATAATGTAAATTGTTTAACATACTCAGGTAAATGTCTTTAATAATTAAACACTTTGTGTAGGTAACTTCGTGATCAAAGAGAAATTAATTTACCTACTCAGATTTATTCCGTCTCCGAAACTACAAGCTATAGTTTAAGAAATAACTCTGAAATAACTCTGAAATTTACAGTCGAAATGACCCTTATGCCAAACCTTTTCTACCCGACACAATAAATTTATGGAATGCCCTACCAAATTCCAAAGAGTCATGCAGTCTCAAAGAATGTTAAAACCTAATTACAAAAGCCTTGTTTTTGTCAAATCGTTCATCGCTGCCTCAGGCTCGGATCTAGCGACTCAAACGCTGATAAGTATAACAGACATTTAATAGACAGTGCATGTTGCTCTTGTGGATATCAACTACCCGTTATAACCTGGATCATTTTTTGAACGGAAACAAAGAACTTACTCCTTGTGTAAACCAGAAAATAGTTGAATCCGTCCACGATTATATCATCGAGACACAACCTTCAAGTTTCCACAGGGAAATACTGAAATTAACTCAACACCCTTCTCATGATTGATTTATATTCCTACAATAGCTTGTTAGACACACACACAACTGTAAGTCTCTAATTATGACTACTTAGAGAATAGTTGTGTTTGATGTAATCTGTATATATTTATATGTACTTAAAAATATATTTATGCAATAGTCATTATCGATGACGTCACATCCTCCATTTCAGTTTATATTTTATGTTGCATGGGAGCGGTGTTAACATAAGCAGTAATACTTCACCAATCCCAATTCATTTTCATAAATAATAATAAAATATGTTTAAACCAAAATGACTTTCAAACTTCATAATAGTCAATAAAAAGGTGTTATCATAATTACATATTCTCTGAATAAATAAAATATTCAATGAAATATTTCCTCTGTGTAAATATAATCTTTGATAATCTATTTCATTAATCAACTCATCAATGAACTATGTCCCCTGTGGGCACTGGGCGGGGCTGATCCCACTTTCATTGTAGGGATGTGGAAACACTACCTATGTGCACTGAACCATTAACTAATGTGTCTCACAACTGGGTGTTCTCACAAAAGGGAGGACACCAACTAGCATGATACATTTCTTATCATGTAGTGATTACACAATGCATGAAATATAATAAACCTACCAAGTGTGTTGACCTGGCTACAATCAGTGTACACCCACAGCTGCACTGACCAATGCAGATACATCTTCAGAAATGATACCAAGATAAATAATGTCCAACTAATCCAAATGTGCGCAAGTGATTTGTGACCAGTTGACAGTCGAAATGTTCTGAACTGTACATAATTCAAAACTTTTAACAGGGAACAGTAGACTAAAGCGGTTTGTGGCAAAGGGACAGTAAGTGGCGGGCTTGTGCAGGCTATTGGCAGTGCTCTAAGTGATTGTGGCTGAGGCAGAAACTTCATGCAGTAAGCTGAGAGAGGGGTTAGGAGAAGCTGAAGAATGAAGAAAACGTTTAAATACACTAAACTGAATATTTAATTCATTTACAATTAAAGAATAAAAACACTAAATATGTAGAAACATTTTCATCCTTTCACATCTTTACCAGTTGAACTGTCGTGAAGCCAACTCTGACCTGCGTCGTACTATTTGAGAAGGAATTTATGCACCAATGGGTAAGGTCAATTAATTTCACGTTTCTACTTCAGTTCGTCCATTAATCTGCAAAGTGGCGACAACAGTTATGTGTTCCACTTTGCCGTCCGATGGTGGGAAACTGAAGCGCTCTACAACACGAAGTCATCAGCTGGACAGTGGGAAACAGAGCTGTTTGCATCGACCTTCATCTTCACTCCTGACGTGGTGTATAACGTCAGCGTCAGAATAACGACTACCCATTATCTGGTGAATGAATTGCCCGTGTAACCCAAAAACCTTGAAGTGACTTCAGGCAAAATTAAGCTTATCAGTGATAACTCTCGCATAGCATGTCTTTTCCGGCTCTGATCAGTAATGTTTTTGACAGATATTGCCCACGCACACATTTGCAATGTAAATATTTGTGGGGTTTTTTTTACTTTTGGACAAGAATGCATTCTTTGCGCCCTTAACATCATATACTCTCGCATAAAAGCAATGGTATTTCTGACACAAATAACCTGGGCCAAGCAACAAACACATTAGGTTAGCAGCTTCTACGAGGTCATGGTAAAACTCTCTCTCTCTCTCTCTCTCTCTCTCTCTCTCTCTCTCTCTCTCTCTCTCTCTCTCTCTCTCTCTCTCTCTCTCTCTCTCTCTCTCTCTCTCTCTCTCTCTCTCTCTCTCTCTCTCTCTCTCTCTCTCTCTCTCTCTCTCGTTAATCTCTCTCTCTCTGAATGTATCCATCCTTTGATTAATGACATGTCTCCATCTTTCAATTTCAGATCTTCATTGACGGCGATAGTTTCCTCGAAGCCCCAATACGTAAACCTGTGGAAGACGCTGTGTCCCTTGTAGTGTATGTCAGTCACTTGGAGTCAGTTGAAGTCAAATACCCATGATAAGTGTGTGTGTCCTGGGTGCCAATGCCCCGGTCACCATCAGCCCTGCTTGTCCGGGATCAAGTGAAAGTGAACGACATTTGGTGTGATGTTGTACTATTTATATAAGCCGATTTAGCAGCTATACCACTTATATACTTTGATACATTCTGAGTAAATGAAACTTGACTGAGCTATTTCATGGACAAAATTACAAATTATTAAAATTTAAACGTGCCAACAAAAAGATTCAGAAAGAATTTCCTTTGTTACGATTTATATTATACATGTTGCATTTTACTGATTAGACTTCGGGTAAGGGTGTGATTTGTACAAGACATTTTTTACATCAATACTTTAATAATGTAGTTAATTCAGTTACAAATGGCCAAAAAAGTGTCGTATTTTCTAAGCTCGTTGTTAATTTCAGAGTTCTGTATTTTTACCGTTGTCTGCTGTCAGCATTAATGTCAATAAAATATGCATAAGACAAAAATAAATTGCAATTTTCGTCATAAATATTCGTCATTATCCGTGACTATTCTATCATGTACACGTATATTGGTGACATTTCTTAATTTATCCATAACGAAGTGAGTGGATCCAAGCATTCTTCAAGAAGACATAGTTAAAGCCGTTATCGGTTGTAGTCCATCTCCATTCTGTTGTGATACAGAGATGAAGAAAAACACACAGAAATATTTTATTTATATAAATATTATTGTGTGCAAGAATACCCAATAAAACACTTGATGAATAGCCCATCCGCTCAAAGTCACTACGAAACCCCGTTGTGATCATTCATTATATATGTAAACCTAGCTGTATTACAGTTATATTATAATGAAACATTCCATAGTGTAACTGTACGTAATCGCTATCTTATTATACCGAATATTTACATCTATTACACATTTAATTTTAATGTATACGTCTTACAAATTTGTGATTACTCAGACTGACTGACTGACTGACTGAGTTTGGTTTTACGCCGCTTTTAGCAATATTCCAGCAACATCACGGCGGGGGACACCAGAAATGGGCTTCACACATTGTACCAATGTGGGGATTCGAACCTGTGTCTTCAGCGTGACGAGCCAACGCTTTAACCACTAGGTTACCCCACCGCCCCCTACTCAGTTAGAACGTTAGAAGTTAGAAGGCAGAAGTATGGATATAACAGTCACCATCTTTCCTTTTGTTGCATTCTAATAACATGGCATTCTCTAGGTAACATATAATAGGAGAACTGACTGGAAAATGAGTGAGTGAGTGAGTTAATACTTAACGTCACATCGGCAATATCTCAGCCATATTGTGACGAAAACAATTTATACAATAAAAGTGAAAATATTTTGAAGATTAAAACCTGTCGACGATGGACAGTAAAAATACTAGATAATCACAGATATAATATAAAACTAGCGAACAAAGCTAAAACATTCCAATTAAAGAAGACAATACAATATAAAACACGGGCTATAGATCGGCAACAACTGAAGGTAGATCACCAAACTAGGAACCATGGGGACTTACATTACTTTGGCTACCTGCATGGAACCTAGCTGGATTTACACCATCCCTTCAGCCGCTGGCGATTGAAGGATAATTTAGCCGAAATTTGAAAGAACAAAAATACTACGTTTAAAAAGTTGGTACGAGAAAATTTCACTTTGATAGTTTTGGGGACTTACGTACCCTCTCAGGAGGACAATAATTTTACGCTACTTCAACCCCCTTTGAGGATACAGCCGTTTGGAAAATGAACTTCATTGTCAGTGGAGTCACTGTCACATAAGTACTCACCTAGTCTATTCTCTTTGGGTGACTTAGGGTCAGATATATCAATTCATATTTCCAAACACATAATATCACACCTTAAGTTACTCAGCAAACAGAGGCCTGGGTAGAATTTCAGTAACATGAGATACACATATCAAAATGTGCCCCTTCTGTTAAATTGTCAAAGTTTATTCCCATCAGATTGCTCTCGGGCAGAAGTCCAGTCTTCCGATTCATATACTGTTTGCAACCAAACCTTATACTTTGATACCTCCATTGATTCCTTTAGCCACCACAGCAGTGTTTGGTTAACTCAGGAACAAAGGGACAACATGGTGAAATGTATAATCACCAAATACATGCATCCGTGGATAGTTACTATCTGTACACATGTATTTTGACGGTAGTTGTTTGCTCCGCTAACGTTTTTCTCTTGTGTACAATCTTTAAACCGAACTTGGAAATATGTGTATATATCTTGTCAGTGGGTAACAAAACTGACATACCTACCATGTTGATTATATGCAACATATGATGAATTCCTAGTGACACCGTGAACCTCATGTCGTTTAATGTAATGAAAGGTTCATGTTGACGCATTCTGGCTGAATCGTCGTACACTGTTGCACTGATTTAGAATAATCGGGCAAGTGAATAGGTCTCAATCTATATGCAGAAAGGAACATCAACATAGTTTATCATAAATATACATGCCTTTTGAAATTAGTTCTTATTTCTGCTACGCGAAGGGGAACAAATACAAGTGGAAAGGGCATTATGGCGGAAATACAGTAACTACGATGCTCTCAGTGCTTCACAGATGTAACATCTTGCCTACAACGAAGCAGCAGGTGGCACTGAACCAATACCCCCACTTCGACTAATAACTCTCGAATTATACACATGGAGTGTTTTGTCAATATCTGGTTTCATGATAGTCAACATTTGCATCCTGATTCGGGGACATCGTGTCATCGTGTGTAAATCACGAAGCCAACGTGACTGCATCATAACTTAATAAATATATTTCACATCCGTAACAGACGGTGATGGACGACGAAACACGAAACCTCGATACAGATGAACACGACGACACTATCACGATACTTCACACGAACGTGTTTGCCAAATAGCCAAACGTGTAATATCGCACCTGTATGTTGCTGTTGCATGTGGTCAGAAGAGCATGACTAAACCTGATGATAGCGTGTGTGACACAATCAGGATGGCAACACCTGCGAGAATGTGATAGATCCTGGAAGGGAAACATATACATATGAATTCATACTCAGATAATTCACTTTCCAAGAATGCCGACGATGCGAACATCAACATTGGCAGCCTGCATCTTGCTTGCTACTATATCTTCGGGTAAGCTGCCAAAAATTGGAATATATGGAATGTATCTTGATAATGCTCTATGTTTCCTCTTTCTGGCGTATGATATATCTACTGGAATTAATACTTGTATAGGACTTATATTCAAAGTCATTCAAATGTATTGAATACCTTTGTCGGAAAGTGTATCTAAGTCATGTGGGTCCGTTGTTTGATCTTGAGCCGCACAATGGAGGGTATGTGTAGCCCAATGGTGTCGGCCCGGGAAAGCTACATTTCAATTTTCCCTGTTACCTCACTGTGCCTACACCCTGTATGTTGTTACAAGGGATTAAAGGCCACAGCTCACTACATTTCTGAGTATAGCCTGTTTAATTAAAGTTGGCATGTGCCAGTGAACTGTTCTCACAGTGTGAACACTGTTTAATGAATGTCAAATTATGATGGCTACCCGATCCTTAACTCTTTTAAAGAATGTCATTGATTAAAATCATATGTTTATAAGTGATACGTTTTGAGTGGTAAGTGCCAGTGTTGCCATGTATAGACATTGCTTGGACTGGTCACACTGGTCATTGCAAAAGGGCAAATGTGCCAGTAAATGTTCGGTTTGTTGCTAACTCCCAAGGTGGACAGAGCCTTGTTCATAATGGTCACAGATTTAGCATCAAGAGCAGGAGAAACACAACTGTGCACTGGCCATTTGGCGTTGATGTAGAAAGAACTGTCCGGCAACGGTAAACACATCCAACCACTTCGCCACAAAATTATCGTGATATTCACACAAAAAACCGTACTGGAGACGACAAAGATATTGTCTTTCAGGAATTCTTTTCCAACCTGAAATATAGTTCGAAATGAGAGCAAGCCTGTACCAAGAAGAATTGATCGGTAAATTGAAAAAATGACTTGTTGACCAGGAGAAAAAGTGCCATAGAATATGCTGATGCTGAGTCGCATTTGGTTGGGGTTTTAAAGTAAATGTGTATGTTATTAAAGGCATGTATGTGAGTAAATTATGTGAACAGAGAATACATTCTCCAAGTGGATAGAATGTCAAGTAAAAATTTATGTTATGTTATGGATCTTATTATATTCATGTACGTGAATACATTATGTGAACAGAGTATTTCAGGAGTTGAGGTCTAGTTTACTGCAACAGACTATAGTTAATCGTCCCATTGTTGACCTATCTACCACGGCCGACTGTACCTCTACCTCGAACAATAGGTTCAGGCACAATCAGGTGTCCCCTTCCCTGGAGAGCTAAAAGGCAGGTTGTGACAGTCAGGAGCGGTAGTCCCACGAAAGCTAAAAATGAGTAATTGCTAGATAAGCATCAGATTACCGTACTCTAGATTAGGTGCCGAGTAGTGAGTAGTGAGCGTTGTTTCTTAACCATACATAACATACATTGCCATTATACCTCAGATTAGTAAAATGTTCACTTGTTTCTTAGAAATGTATAAACACGGAAATTATATTAGAATAGATAAAAGAAAAAATGCTTATGTAAAATTTAAATCTTTGAGTTACTATATAAAGATACTATATAAGGGTACTCGGTGATTTTTCATTATCCAAATGGCGAACGCACATTTGAGAGTTACGTTTATTGAGTGAGTAAAAGAGGTGGCTAGCATCTATTCTATGATCAGTACAAGTTTCGGTGTAGGAGAAGTCGTGGAGAAAAGATTATTGGGCCTGTGTAGTTGCCTGTTCGTTCTTGGATCGCATTACTTTAAATTCGATTCACACAAGATAGTATGTACTATGTAATTCCGGAAAAGGTCACCTTTGTTTGCGAGTGTCTGCGTACAGATATAATTCGAAATAATGGTTTGTGGTATAATACTGCTGAAGGAATATTGAAAGTCATATATGAATTACTTCAGAAACTAGGGTGATGATAATAGAGATTTCCACATCAACACATCTCAAGAACATGATACGGCTGCACATAAACACACACTCCAGATTTATCTTTGAAAATCAAGTATAGATTAATTCCATGTTAGAAGCTCTAGCTGGAGGTATATTTCGGAATTGTACAAGTAAATGTGTAAAAGACAGTGCACTTAACTTGTCACAGTGTGTACTCGGCAAATCATGGAACTGCACACTCAAAACTCAAATTTTCAATATCGTCTTCTGACACGAAATTTGTCAAAAGCACCCAACTTTTATTTCTGTGACATGGGACAGGATGAATATGATAGTGCTTAACCATTATAAATTGAAGACACAGAACTAAGTACTCAACTAAGACTGAAACCTTACTTCCCTTCCCCTCCAACATTTCCAACATTGTAGTGAAGTGAGTAAAAATTACTATCAATTATTATATATACTATGCCAATTCA